CGAGCCCAGCGGCGCCGGGCCTCGGGGCCGCCTCGGTCCTGTTTGAGGAGTCCCGGGCGGGCCGGGGCCCACCCTCCCCGCCGGCGTCCCTGGATGCCGGGAGTCTTCCCCGGCCTGGGGCTCAGGGTGGTGCCATCTCGTGCGTGAGAGAACGAGGTACCTCAGGGCGTGAGTGCCTTTTTCATGAGGGCCTCGGGCTGATCGTCGTGCAGCCAAGCGTTAGTTTCCAATGGAAGAGCCGTGCTGGTTGGGTTTCAGCCTGCTCGGCTCCCTGATGCAGCAGCCTCTGCAGCCACAGGATTTATGTTACGCTTAAGCCTGCAGTGAGACTGCACGTGTTGAAACGTCCTCGGCCAGAGGATAAAGAAGCAGTTTGGCAAACGTGATGGAAAAACAGTTTTTTCAAAAGTGGTATTGCGGAGCTCCGAAATTGCTCTCTGTCAAGATGGCTGGGTTAACATGTTATTTATTGTGACCGCTTCTTAGCGGTTAACGTACAGCCTAGCAGTTCTAAAGCCAGCCAAATAAATATTTTCCTGAGTTCTGTACAAATATGCCATGAGACAATTGTCCTTATAGGGTTTACAAACAAATGGGGAATTGAGTTAAGAAGACTTTTATGGACTTCATAGGCTGCATTACCATTGTATAATAATTAAAAAAATGAGGTGGGGGATGTGGGCATAGATGATGTAAAGTCAGGGGCGGCATTCTTGTCATAGATGTAGTTTACTGCCAATAATTAGAGTGAAACATGCGTAGAAAGGTGCATTGCTTTAGCTACATTGCAACACAGGAAGTAATGAAATCCAGGGCTGTTACTTTATTGATTTGTTCCCTTTTGCACTCCATGTGTTGTTTTTCTTCTTTTCCAAAAATAACCGTGCAAGCCATGCAATATGATATTTGGTCATCAAGCTCTTTTCATCTCATTAGCCTCATTTCCATTTTTATCACTGTCTGGCATTGATTATTTATGACTCTGAAATGAGGTCTGAGTGTCCAAAAGGAAAGAAGATGGCCCTAGCTTTTTGGTCCGTCTGTAATTTTCACTGTGGAAAGTTTCATAAAGACCCATATTCATCAATAAAGCCCTTCAAGTTAAATTATTTCATTGGCTTACATTATTGAATCTCAGAAATCATTAGATGAGACACAAAAAGGACCACCCTGCTATATGATAGTTTAGTATAGAAAAATGGAATTCTAGAAAGACAAAAATGTATCAAGAAATGTCTTGGAACATGACAGGGGATAGAAGTTATTTTTTTCAAGTCTTCAAAAATAGTTGATTTTGTGAAAAAATAATACAAAATTCTCACTCTTGAGACCAAATACCAAATTTAAATGTTAGATAATTTGTCAGGGAAACAGTTACCGACCTGTAAGAAATGTGGTGCAATGTGCTATAATTCCGCTAGATGACAGCCAATTCAACAAATAACTCTATTAACTGACTGTTCAAAGGGAATCCTGTCTTTGGTTAGGTGGGGCTTACCGCTACCACCCCTTTTTCCCTGAAGTCAGTGCTGCTGTTCCTTACTGTTGTCTCCTACCTCCTTTTAAACGTTAGTGCTGCTTTCCCACTGCCCCCTTTTCCTCCAGCATCGTGGTATTTGACGCTCCTCGTGTAGGCAGAGGTTTATCAGGGTGGGCTTCATATTGTGCTGTGCATCATCTTTAATATTGTCGAGTTTTGCATAATTGAGAACTTTGTTCAAGAAACCATTCAAAGATGTTTAAGCCTTAGCTGTATATATTTCACTGGTTTGTGTTGGTTTTTTTCATTAGATATAGTCTAAGCATACTTATATGGTTAAAAATACTGGAGGAAACAGATACAAAGTAATTGCTAGGAAGAAGTTCTTCTTTCTCCATACATATGAAACCTCATGTTTTTAATGTTTTACTTATGCCATCTATATTTTGGCTATAATATTGATTTGGTTTCATTTTCATGCTCTCGATTGAATTTCAGCTGATTCTGTATCAGCTGGTATGGCATGTAGCAAGAGTCCAACAGTAAAATGAGATTTATTTTCATCTTTAATTTTCTGACTTGTCACTTGCAGGAAAAGAAAACTGTATCAAATTTATAAATGAAGATTTAATTAGAGCTCCAATGTCAAGATGCCTGTGTGATTCCTTAATGAATTACAATGCTTATTAGCCATTTTGCCAGATATTTACTTACAGTGTTGTTGTAAGCCAAAGAATATTCTGTATTTCATGCAAGAAATAACAAAAACTAGACCTTATAAAGTGTTACAAAGTAGATTTTAAAGCCAAAGCATTATTAGAGGCGTTTTTAGGCTAAGGTAAGTGAGAGAGAGATTTCAAGGGGAGAGGAATTAAATAAAAAGGATATACAGGAGAGGCTGTAGAAGGAATACATTTTTCTAACTTTTCTATTTGGGATTAATCACAGAATAAGACCAAGCTGCTTCAGGTACCCACAGGGTATAAACTTAGTCTGCCTGGGCAGGATTAAGTTCACCCATTTGCTATAATTGTAATGAAGAAATAAGGTGACTTCACTGCTCAGGAAAATGGGGCCACCCTGGAGGAGTGTTCTTGCTGGTGTTATGCTCATGCTGAGGCTTCTACCTGCAGATGCAAGAACACTTCTTTTCAAGCTAACATCCAGCATTTGAGCAAGGTTCACCGCACACAGGGCTAGCAACTTATCAATGTTCCCCCGTATCATAAGGCTTAAGAATTTTGTAGTCAGGATATTTTTTCCAAGTTTACTAAAAATTCTCATGTGTTTCTATTATGAAATATTTGTATTACACTATTTTAGTTCCTCTATTTGTATTTTGTAATTTGTATTTTTTCAGGGATGTATTTCTGAACTGCTTCCTTGAGCTGCCTTAGTTCTCAAGGTGTGTCAAGGTTTCAGTGGGTAGGCAAAGCATGTTTTGTTTGTTTTCCCCTTGGTATTTTAGTGTGTGTGTGTAGTGGTGGTAACCATTTCTTCTCAGGGATGGCAGAGAGAGGCAGTCTCCAAAGCACACAATGGTTTGGATTTCAGGGATTTTTTTGTTTGTCATGCTACCAGAAATTTTCTGAGGAGATTAAGTTCCTCATGGAAACCACATGAAAAGGGAAGTAGCAAATCTTACCATTCAAATTCAAAATCTTAGCCATATCTAATTGGAACTCCAGCAGATAAAGCCTGTGTGTGGCTCAGGGTGTTTCCATCCCAAGTAGCAGAGACTTGAAAACGAGGGGAAACAATGGAACTTACAAACAGAAATTGTTAAGCAGTTTAGGTATGCGGTGTGCTCTCATTTCCCCAAAGTAGCTGTCAGTGAGGTTGTACAGTCTAATCAAACAATCCATTCTGAATTACATGCATATTATAATGCCCTATTGTACATGATGTAATTTTAATTTTAATGATCGTTTAATGTTGGCATAGCTTTGTCCTTTCATGCTGAAGCACAGGCTCTGCCCACTTAAAACAGAAGGTCTGCTGCTTACAAGACTGTAAGCTTTAACTTTAGGAAAGAAGCATTAGGAAGTTAAATTTTGGGGGATGAAAAGAAGATAGCTGTGCCATTGAATAAATCCATAGGTACTCCTATGTTATTAGTATTATCTGTAATGTAGCTTTCATCTCTTCCCTTCTCCTTGAAGAGGATATGGTAGAACTGGAAAAGTTTTGGAGAAGGATGACGAGGACAGTGGATGGCAGAGAAGGGCTTTCATGCCAGTGACAGTAGGTAGGTTGGCTTCTTCAGCCTAGAAAAAGGATTATCAAATGAAGATACATTAGAAAAAACTTAGTGGCATAGAAAGGTTGTGATTATTCAGTGGCTCATCCAGTAAAAGAGCTAGGTGGCATCAAGGGGCCAGATTCAAAACAAACAAAAAGCACTGGTTACTCACGTCGCACTGAGATAAGATGAAAATCTCCATTCCCCTGGATTTTGCAGATACTGAAAGTTTTGCATGAGTTCAAGGGGAGAGCGGATGGGTTCGGGGAAGCATCACCACATTGTGACTGGTGGATTCTTCTGTCCCTCCCCAGGCATCGGTGTTGGCTGGAAGTATGCAGAGCTAGATCAGCTTTTGGTCTGACTAGATACTGCTGTTCTGATATTCCAACTACATTACATGATTTTTCTAACTAATTCAGTGTGAAACGCTAAGTCAGTTGACTTGTTTTCAGAGTAATTTTTATTTTTAAGATTTGTGTGCAAAAGGAGGTAGCATGAAGATGTAGATAAATATCCTGAGGTTTAGATTGGATATTAGGAAAAATTTCTTCACTGAAAGGGTTGTCAAGCGTTGGCACAGGCTGCCCAGAGAAGTGGTTGAGTCACCATCCCTGGAGGTATTTAAAAGACGTGTAGATGTGGCACATAGGGGCATGGTTTAATGGTGGACTTGGCAATGTTAGGTTAACGGTTGGACTCAATGATCTTAAAGGTCTTTTCCAACCTAAATGATTCTATGATTCTGATTTTATAAATGCAAGGGATTAAGATAAAGTTTAAAGGGGTTCATCAGTATATGTTCATGGAGTCTATCACTTGAAGTGTAGTTCCTTCAACAGAGACTTTTATAAATTTTTTGTCTTCTTAATTAGTCTAGTTGATGCATCTTCATACATGAAGCTGTGTCTCTTCACGTTCATAATGAAATTTTACTACTTTTTGCATCGGTCACTCTGGAAAGAGTCAGTGCAGCTAAGTGTCACCTATCTGGATTCTGCACTGACATGTGTATGAACATTGCTGTTTGCTAGAGAGATACTGAAGTAAAGATGCTGGCATTAGTCTTCGGAATCTGAGTTTGGACTTCTATTATTATTGCTGTCCTGAAGCTGTTTCACAAGACAGTTCTCAGCCTGATTTGACCCGGGTTCCAAAACAGACTTGTAATTCCCTTTCTCTGCAATTCTGTGTGTTGAATCAAGGCTGTAATATTATTTGCAGTTCTACAGTTTGAAAACATCCATATTTGTTGAACTATTCTGTAAATTTAGAAATCATGCCAACTTTCATTTCCATTTGTATTAGACTTTATTTATCAGATACTGCAAAAATACAAATTTTCCACTTTGCTTTTTGAACTTTATATATCCGATTTTGTATAAGCTGAATTTAAATTTAATTAGGTAGTAGGTAATTGAAGAATGCTAAACTTATTTTAATGTTCCATAATTGTACATATCTTTTGTTACAGTCTGTCCCCTTCCCTCTTAAAAAGGAGTGGAGACTAGCACTTATCACACTAGCTAAGGCTGTCTAATTGTTTTCCTGTCTCAGCTGTTTATAGTTGTGTCTTAACATAATATTATAAACTTTTAAGATTCAGAAGATTGTTTTTGTTCTCTCCCTGCCCAGCAAATTGGAGTCTTGGTGAGGACTCTTTTGTACTACCATACTGCGAGGAAGTGTATTTTTTGACTGGTGTCAACTGTACGTTTCACATATAAGTATTGACAAAATGCCTACACCCATGAAGCTCTCAGGTTTTGGCATTGTTCTGCTTAGAGTTTCTGCCACTGCTTTTCCCCCTGTCTAAATTCTTCTAATATGTTTAGAGGAACAAATAAAGTAGCAGCAGCAGCAGCCATAAACAGGAAATGCATATGCTAAAATATTCAGCAGTTCTTTATAGATGAAAAATTGCTCTCTATTTATAAATGTGTGTACATGTTTATGTACAGTATTTCAGAGTTTATTTCTTGGCCTCTATGATGTTTACAGTTGTTTCACAATGTTTTGACTCCTCCAGGAGGGATAATGAAATTGCTTTTTTTTTTTCCATAAGCAAATACAGCCGCTGAAATCTCTCTCTAAAAGTCAATGTTCCTGAAGGAATTCCAAACAGCACTGAAGAAAGTCATAAACTTGCCAGTTTAAATTTCACTACCTTTATAGACAAGTGACTTTTCAAAAGGTGGATACACCCAACACAATATTTTTATATCCATTTGCCCACCACAATTATAAAAAGAAATTAATTTTTCTTAACTGTCAGCTTTCTGGCTTTGGAATGCAAAATTGCTCTGGTTGTTTCATTGGAGAAATCTGGTATATACTATTGAAATACTCTGAAAATTTCTTCTCAGTTTTATTACAGTTTTAATTTTGATTGTCCTTGATTTATAACAAAAAGCTCTCTTTTAAAAGAGAAAGGTCTCCCATATGTTTTGTGAAAGGCTGAATGATGTCGAGACTGACTAATTTGAGGTGGATTCTGCATCTTTGGCAGCTGATACGGGTTTTATAATGATTTTTTCCTACAGCAGAATCCAATGTTCTCTGCATAATAGTTATTCTGCATAATAATTAATCTAGAAAGACCTGCTGGTGTCAGATGAACACTTGCAGAAGTTGGCAATCTTCCTCCCAAAATTTTGAACTAAAATACTGTGATACTGATTTGTCCATTCATTTAATCTACAGCCAACTTCAGGGAACTTGTGAAGGAATTCTTGAATTCCTCCACGTATGCTCCATCTCCACTTTCCGCGATGCTTTGCTCTACAAATACTCTATGGCTCCCCTATCTCACTATGTCATGGCAAGATTTCTGTGTGCCTCAGAAGTCCTTCTTCCCCTCTTCTCCCTCTGTAAGATGCTTATTGCCTCTCTTTAGTCATCCCACATCTCTTTATATCTTTCTCCTGAAATGTTTGTGTCTTGTTTCATGCTGCCTTCATGCAAAAGGTCAATATTTTAAAACTCTTCGAATATACAAAACTCTTAAGATACTGTTATGCCAGAAGATGTTTTTGGCAGCTATTAATTGGCATTTGATATAATGACAAGTACGGACCTGATGGACATTGCTGTCTTATCAGGTTACTGGGAGGATTGTATCCCCTTGTATTCCACCTCCCACTTCCCTCTTCCATCTCGGCATTTTCACACAACTCAGATAGTTCTGATGATTGACGCCTGGGAACATAATTCTCAAGTGCTGGACTGAGATAGTAAACACAAAGTGAAGTTACATGAAGTTATAGTAACTTGGTGACGTTAGGTCTCATCTTGCTCAGAAGTAATTAATAAATGTCCTTGATCTAGCTGTTCCTAATGCAAGAATCTTAGAGATTTCTATTCCTAAATGAGAGCTATGAAAGTGGGATTTTCTCAAATATAATTGTAGGAAAGTTATCTTTTCCAACAACCCTACTTGTTCCGACTTTCTTTTAATTCTCTCTCTGTGTATTTATTAAAAAACTGTGTTACCTAATTGGAAAAAGAGCTTTTTTCAGGATAAAGCTTATACCAAGCTACGATTATAAAATTTGGATTTTAGCCTCTTATAAAGCTCCTTCTTTTGGGGAAGAAAAAAGGGATTCCCACCCTGTACTGGGGATCAAAATACAGCTTGAATCCTGTGAGTTTTATTATTACTCTTGAATTAGTTCACTTGGATATTTTTCAGGGTCATATTATTTTAGCAGAGGTCACGGATACTAAAAATGTAATCTGGTACATAACTGAAATGTTAGTACTACACAGGAGCTCTGACATGAGGAGATCTCAAAAAAAAATTTTTTTCCAGTATTTTTCTACCTCCTATTCTCAGATTTTGTATCACGTTTTCTCATTTTGTATGGCTTCGGGCTTTATTTGTTGGTTTTGGTTTTGGTTTTTTTTAAGTATGGCCATGCAATGACTTACAGACATGAATAACTTTAATGATATTATGCAAGTTAGACCAGTTCTTGTCCTCAAGATCTCTATGTTCTGTGAAGGGGTTCCTTTTCTATGTAATTACGCGCTGCAAGGTCAAGGGACACTGCGAAGGGTGGGCTTATGTTGCCTGGAGAGAAGGGGAAACTCATTCTTGGATTAGTCTTATGGAAATGACAGAGAAAAGTTCATAGCAGTTATACCTATAGGAGTCCCATCCACTTGAGGATTTCCTTTATAAGGACCTGCCTGAAGGCAACGGCTGGACTCCCCAGTTTAATAGATTTTCAAAACTCAGCTGGTCAAAGCCCTAAGCAAGTCAATTTAGTTTTGAAGTTAGCCCTGCTTTGAGCAGGAGATTGGACTAGGTGACCCCAGAGGCCTTTTCCAGCCTAAACCTATTGTTCAATGCCTGTTCTTTAAGAAATACTGTTTTGCATGTTGTCTAACATTTATGTGATGGTAACATAGCCAACTATTAGAGGCTTTGAGCAGGATTGGACTAGGTGACCCCAGAGGCCTTTTCCAGCCTAAACCTATTGTTCAATGCCTGTTCTTTAAGAAATACTGTTTTGCATGTTGTCTAACATTTATGTGATGGTAACATAGCCAACTATTAGAGGATTTTAAAAATAGTCAAACAATGGTAGAGTGATGGTGAAGCTTCTTCCAAGGCTTTCATGAAGTTGTAACCGTAGACCCACCTAGTTTGCTCACATTGTGACTTTTGTTGTTTGAATGTGGGTCTCACATGTCGATGTTGTGTTCTTTACACTACACATTTATCTTGCACAGTCATGTATATCCCTGGATCTAATTAACTGTATTTTGGTATTTTTGTTACTTCCTAGAACTTCAAACAATGAGTCAGGCTGGTGAAGAAAGTTCCAGTTCCAGTGACACAGAATTGGAAATCGAGAAGGGGCAACCTATCTGTGCTCTAGCTCCAACAGTTTATAGCCAAGATGAGGGATCCACTGATGTAACAGCAAGTCCTGCATTTCAGTGTTTAGAGGAGGTACCATGTACCCCAGCTTTCTCTATCTATAACAGTGCATATTGTGTCGAAATCAATTAATCTGAAATGTGTATTTTGTTGTTAGTAATTGAAGGTTGTTACCATAGGCTATTTGTAGCTTCCCTATTTCTTCTCTGATTTTTTTCTAAGTGATACGAACATTTTGTGAAGCAGAAACATACATGGGGCATATTCTTGCCAGGAATGGTGTGCTTAATACTTAACAACATTATTTTTTTCAGTGATCATGGCCTTAAGGGGAATGAGAATAGAGAGGTCTTGTTTTTGTAGTATTCTAGAGGTAATTGCATCATGATTTTTAGAAAGGCTCAATAGCTGCAGGAAAAATCCAAGGTAAGTGGCTGCTGAGGCACTAATACTGATGATGATAGAAGAAACCTTTTGGAACTCAGTTTCTTTTGCAGAATTTTCTGTGTTAAGGAAACTTTTAGAATACTAGAAGTAATTTAGAATTTAAGATATCAAATACATATCAAATGGAATCCTTAGAAATGAAATGCCAGAAAAGATGTAAAGAGATCATCTAATCCAAAATTTACACTGGAGTAGATTCCCTGCAGATATTTGTCTGATTTGTTCTTTGAAACTTTAATTGATGGAGATAGTTCTTTGGGTATCCTTTTCCAGCATTTCATCATTGCTAGAGTTTTAAAAAAAGAAGTTTTCCCTAAATCCAGTTTAAATTTCTTTTGGAGTGAATAATGCAGCTTTCTTCTTGCCTTTCCCACAGTGACAATGGAGAGCAATCGATTTCTGCCCTCTTTATAATAAAAATGTACATATCTCTTATATCCTAAGCAGGCTTTGTTCATACTTCACGTTTTTCTTAAAGTTCTTACTTTAAGTTGCTTTACCTTGGGCTCTTTCCAGCTTGGATCTGTCAGATCAGTTTGCTAGCCAAGCTCTCTCTCTCTGCCTTGGACCTAAGGTCAGTAGAAAGGAAGGGGTGAGAATTTGTAGTGAAGAGGAAAATAGGACTGCCACTTTCCTATCCTGCTATTAGATCATACTGAACATAGCATGAAGCTGCACAGTCAATTTCTGTCTAATGTCTTGTGCATTCAAGTGAAGTATACGGGAGGGAGAGAGATTTTCACTTTTAGTTCAGTGCCAATATGTGGTGAGCCCACAGCTTCCAGTATTGTCGTAGCACAAAACCCCTTTCTTCTCAGTCCAAGGCAGCTGCAGAAGTGCAGGACAGCTCAACTCTCAAAGAGAGTTGACCTCTCACCTTACAAAAATCCTCCTGTCTACTGAAAGTATGGAAAATGCACCTTGGGGAGTGCTTTATTTTCCAGCTACTCCCATACTTTTTCTGTAGATTTTCAGTTGTGGTAGAATTTTTGACATGTCAACAAGAAGCATATGCCAGGTACAAGATATCTTTACCCCCCAGCCTTCCCCAGATAAAATAAGACTAAATGGTATAACATTCTAAAATATATTCTACATTTCTGCTTTGTTTTCCTTATTTTTAATCGTGGTGAAAACTTATTTTTCTAGACTTATTCTAGAAAACGATCCGATCATTTGGCTGATTTTTTTTTCTCCAAAAAATCTTTCCACATAGGTAATTCTGCATGTCAAATTTAAGGCCAACTTGTTTAACTCTGATAACATTGTAAACCATTAATGGGAAATATAGGGTAACCTTAGTATTAGAAGTAGTTCCCAACTCAGGAAAAAAACATGCAGTGGAAAACCGAAGTAAGCGATTTCCATAAGATTTCATAAATTAGGTCTTTCGGTCATTTTGTCAATTTTTAAAAGGGAATTATGACTCATTTATTCTTACCATAATTTTTAACAGTTCGTACTTGTGCTTTACGGGTCAATTTGGCTTTTCATCACTCATTCACATTTCTTCTCTTCCACTGACGTGTTTGTTTTCCTTTGTTGAACTTTATACATAATTCAGAGATAAATATATGACTTCCGTCACCATAGAGGTTGTTGCATTGATACTGGCTTCAGCTTCTTGGAATAGCTTTCAGAATTTTTCCACTGAAGCAGAATTGTATCATATTATCTCTGGTTTACTGGCTAGTCATTTATGCCTGCATAGCAGCAAATACTTATCAGAAGGGACACCTTTTGATATTATAAGATTTATTTGAGAACAGATACATCCCTTCTAGCAGTAAACCTTCCAGTCAAGCCACGCTTGTTTTTCTCATGTAAACAGCAGAGAGTCAAACATATAAATGGCAAGAAGACAAACATGCACACTCTCTCTCCTTCATTTTTAATAACACAGAGTAACGTTGTTTAGCCTTGTGGGTTAAGTAAAAATACTAAAAACTGGACAGAGGTTTGAACAAAAGCCACTCAGTCCATCATCACTTGCTTATTTTCACCAAGTTTTTTTATTTATTACCAAGTTGACATGAACCTAACTCAGTACTTCCACAGCTGTTGGTTAGAGGACTGTCATACATTCACAAAATGAACTTTCCACTTCTTTTAGCCTTTGTTGTTATGTCCTTGAAATATAGACCTTTGCTCTAACACTTCTAAATGAATTTCTTGACTTGTGAATCTTTCCTCATATACTGTTTTCTTCTAGTGTACGCCATTAGAAAGAAATCAGTCTGCATCATGTTAATAACTTTCATGGAAAACTACATGTTTGTAGTACCTGTGTGATGAAATAAATATATTACTTGGATAAATGCTACATTAAGATGCAATAAATTATGCTGTTTTCATTTTGAATTTAGTACATTATAGACCACGTATATGTAATTCGATTCTTAAAAGGCAGCAAAAAATGTATTGAATTTTATGTAATGTACATTGTCTAAATTTCAAGAGCTATTAATTTTATAAAATGAGTATTTTACTAGTAGATAGCCTCACCAAAATGGTCTGAATTCATACTCATCCTTTGCATGCAAATTTATGACTTTTTTGCAGCAGATGGTAATAGACTACATTTTACCTCTCCCTTTATCCTTATATCATCCTTGTTACAACACTACTATTACTGCTAAAGCAGCACAGGACATACTGAAATTGCCATTTGAATAGAAAAAGCAACAGAACATGACATGAGACTGGATTATATGCTCAAAATGACAAGATTAGGCAGAAAGAAAATAAAAAAGACCGATTAACAAATTGCCTCCTGCCCACTCTCATAATTTTTGTCTCCATAATTTTTTGCCCTTCCCTGCACTGTGTAGTAGTATTTTTTCCCTCTGGACACTCAAATTGTTCTTTCCTTTCCTCCACCTGATCCAGGCTTTCCCATTTTAATGGGAACATAAATAAATAAAACATCGGTTGCCATAATGATGCTGTTGATGTTTAGTTTGTAATCTATTATAGTCTTCAAATCCTTTTCTGTTGCTTAATTTTTGTTTTGTTACCTAAATTACAATTAATCCCAGGAACAAAAAAGACCTCTATTCTAGACTTCTTTCCAATTTGATAGTGAATTGTTGACAGTTAAGGTCCAGGAACAGTTTTCCATCCCCTTTATCTTTGTGAAATTTCGAAGATTTAATAAAGTTGATTAATGGCTCACAAAATCTACTGGTTCATCTTTTTGATTCAAGAGACTATCTAAAAACTAGTATTCTTCAGGTTCTTACAGTTAGAAGGAGAAATCAGTCATGGAGCCTAGTATCTTTTAATTCTGTTTAGTTAATTCTGTTTATTTATAAATTAGGTACAAGCTCTTCTTTTTCTGGGAAAAAAAAAGATAAATGAAATGGTGGGAGGGTAGCTTCTCCCAGTTTGATGTCTTTTTCAGTTAGTATTATATTAGCAGTTCTTGTTAGGCTTTACTCAAGAGTGATGTCTCTGAGCTTCACTATGCTGTGCTTTTTCTTTCTCTTCCTTTTGTTGGTATGTTCTTGGGTTAGAAATATAGTGGTTAGTTCACTCAAATGTATACATCGATTTTTAAAACAAGACCAGAAAAAAGGATTCTTTTAAAAAATACCATTTAAAACAATTTAAAACAATACCAGAAAAAGGATTCTGCAACATTTATCTTGCATGTCTTTGTAGTGGATGCTATGAGGGAGCTATTCATTCTGTAAAATAGTGTACTTGTGAATGAAAAGTGCCCTACTATTTACCAGATTCAGTGAGTGGGTACCTTGTTTGGAAGGTATCACAATAATCCCTTTCTGCTAGTGAACGTCATCCATTTATGTGCTAAATGTAAACCTGCAGAAGAAAAAACTCCTTTGGGAGATATCTCTGATTGGTCTAATGGAGACTGTTGCACTCTGTATCCTATAAAGATAAAAGGCACTGTGCCCCCTATGTGATACCAGCGCCAAATCTTTCATTTGCGCTGCTTTTTTTGGATGGAATTTGTCACTATCATGCTACATTTCTTTTTGCTGGTGCCCAAGCATCCTATTGCCACCATCCATCAGGAAGCAGAAGGAACCTTTCATGAATATTTTTCATGACTATTTTGAAACTTGGGAGTCTTTCTGAGATTAATGAACTTCTTACCCCTGACTGCCAAAAGTGGTTGAACTGCTAATAAAGATGTTAACCGAAATCCTGATTCTACTGGAAACACAGAGCAAAATCTTCATGTTTACCAAAAAATGAACAGTATAGTGACAGACTTCTTGAGTAAATTTTGCTTCTGCTGATCTGACGCTGATTCATGTGGATCTGCTAGCTGGAAGAGCTTTAAAGTCATGGAATGATGCATATGTTCAGTGTTCGAATGTGGTTTAAGGGGGGAAAGGTACTTTTCATTTTTCTCTTTTTTCTCATCTGTGCTGCAGGAAAGAAGAGAAAGTCACATAAAGGTTGGCTACAGCTTTCAAATACAAATACTGAGAATCAGTATTTCATGTATTTCTTCAATGGCAGTCCAACATCCAACAATGCCACTCTAGAAAATATAGCCTTTTCCAATGTCTTTTGCTAACAAGCTGGTTTTTAATTCTCTCCTAACTTAGGTTAAATGGTAGGTGTAAACAACTTTCCTTTTAAAAAAAAAT